TGAATGGCTACTAGTCCTGATGCTAGAATGGATGCTTTTGAATTCTGGTGCTGGAGGAGACTCTTGAGAGTCCCATGGACTGCAAGAAGATCAAACCTCTCCATTCTGAAGGAAATCAGCCCTGAGTGCTCACTGGAAGGACAGATCCTGAAGCTGAGGCTCCAAGACTTTGGCCCCTCATGAGAAGAGAAGACTCCCTGGAAAAGACCCTGATGTTGGGAAAGATGGAGGGCACAAGGAGAAGGGGACGACAGAGGACGAGATGGTGGGACAGTGTTCTCGAAGCTGCCAGCATGAGTTTGACCAAACTGCGGGAGGCAGTGGAAGACAGGAGGGCCTGGCATGCTCTGGTCCAGGGGGTCACGAAGAGTCGGACACGACTAAACGACTAAACAACAACAACAACAACAACTGTAAAAGTATGTACAAGACAAATAATAATATTTTATTTAAAAGAATCTTCCAGCGTCCAGCTTCACCTGATGTCCTGAGTTCAAGTGTTAACACATCGGGGCATCTGCGGGGGCCGCCGAGTGAGCTGCGAGGTTGCCGGATTTGAGAGGTTTTGGGCCTGATCCGGCACATGACGCCCTTTCGATAAATTTTATTAAAGTGTGGCAGAAAGCATGCAAAGGTCTCCCCTCTGTTTTGTGTTTCCAGTGAGATCGGTTTCTTTTTATCTTTGATAACGATGATATTGAGTATTTAATATTAACAGGCACGGCCGTTATCCACCCGAGTTTGCCTCAATCTTCCCATTTTTTCTGGAGGGAATGAGGCCATCAGAGTAAATAAACAAAGAAAATGATGAGAGGAGGAGGAGGAGGAGAGGTGGTCACCAATGGCATTGGGCACCCATCACTTTCCGCCCTACCTTAGGAAATTAATTGAAAAATCCACTTGCCGTGGAACGGTGGGAGATTGAATTGTCGAGGGGGGGGCGGGCAGAGAAGGAACGCTTCGCGTCCCCCGCTGGAAGGTAATCACTGAGCAGAGAAAATCTCTGCTGGGTAATTTTCTGCTAAATCCTCCAAAAAGCCGAGGAGAATTACATATCCCGTCTCCTTTATTATGTGTGTAGACACACACACACACACACACACACAGGCGCGAACACAGGCGCTTGCCTAGGCCAGATATTTATATACACCTATCTTTCTATATATGGGGTTTTTAAAGGTGTTGTTGCTCCTTAAAAGTTATTTCCAAAGGGAAGATCTCCGGAGGATCATCTCGGCTAAGTGCCGTGTATCATCTTGTAATGGGATTGGCAGATCACCCAGAACTCTCGCTGGAGGGGAAAAAGCAATTTCGCAAACATCGGCGTAAACATTGGCGTCAGGATGGCATTTTGAGAGAGAGAGGAGGGAGGAGAGGGGGGAGTTTGGATTAAAGCCCCCTTTCAGGTTTATTTTTTTGGGGGGGGCACTGAGACCCCAGCAGTTTATTTTATAAATTGCATTTATACCCCCCCAAGTGTGCTTCTCCCTCTTGTTTAACCCCCTCTACACCCCTGTGAGGCAGGCTGAGAGAGGCAGGGACTGGCCGAAGGTCACACCCTATGAACTCGGGTGGCTGAGTGTCAGGATTCGAACCTGGGTCACTCCCAATCCGGCACTTTCTAACTGCTACACCATGCTAGTAAAGGTAAAGGGACCCCTGACCATTAGGTCCAGTCGTGGCCGACTCTGGGGTTGCGGCGCTCATCTCGCTTTATTGGCCGAGGGAGCCGGCGTACAGCTTCCAGGTCATGTGGCCAGCAGGACTAAGCTGCTTCTGGCAAACCAGAGCAGCGCACAGAAACACCGTTTACCTTCCCGCCGGAGTGGTACCTATTTATCTACAGTCACAACTCTGGTTACAGACGCTTCAGGTTGCGTTTTTTCAGGTTAAAGGTAAAGGTACCCCTGCCCGTACGGGCCAGTCTTGCCAGACTCTAGGGTTGTGCGCTCATCTCACTCTAGAGGCCGGGAGCCAGCGCTGTCCGCAGACACTTCTGGGTCACGTGGCCAGCATGACGAAGCTGCATCTGGCGAGCCAGCGCAGCACACACGGAACGCCGTTTACCTTCCCGCTAGTAAGCGGTCCCTATTTATCTACTTGCACCCGGGGGTGCTTTCGAACTGCTAGGTTGGCAGGCGCTGGGACCAAACAATGGGAGCGCACCCCGTCGCGGGGATTCGAACCGCCGACCATGCGATCGGCAAGTCCTAGGTACTGAGGTTTTACCCACAGCGCCACCCGCATCCCTTTTTTTCAGGTTACGGACTGCCAAAACTGAGAAGTACCAGAACGGGTTACTTCCAGGTTTCGGCGGTCGCGCATGCGCAGAAGTGCTAAACCATGCTTTGCGCATGCACAGAAGCACAACATCATAACCTGCACGTGCGCAGACACACAACTGCGGGTTGCGAATGTTCATCCCACACGGATCATGTTCACAACCCGAGCGTTCACTATAATTGTACTTTGACGTGCTTTCGAACTGCTAGGTTGGCAGGTGCTGGGACCGAGCAACGGGAGCTCACCCCGTCGCAGGGATTCGAACCGCCGACCTTCCGATCAGCAAGCCCTAGGCTCTGTGGTTTAGACCACAGCGCCACCCGCGTCCCTCACACCACACTGGCCCTCATTTAAAGTAGTTGCACTGCCAGCCCTGAGGGGAGGGGATTGTGCCGCGTGACCTGCCACGGCCGACCCCAGTGTGAAAAACCTTAGACCAGGAATATCCTTTCCCCCTTCTCAAACCTCTCCCTTCCTTCTGCTCACTCGATAGCCAGAAAGGCAAGCTGGTGGAGTAAACGAGGGGGTCAGCCTAGACTACTGCAATGGCATTGACATGGGGCTGCCCTTGGAAGCCGCACTGGGAGACCCGGGTTCGAATCTTGCACACAGTGATGAAAGCTCACCAGATGTGACCTTGGGCCACACGCCTCTCAGCCTAACGTACCTCATAGGGATGTCGTCAGGATTATTTGAGGAGGGGCAGAACCACCTACACCCCTTGGAGGGGGATAGAAATACAGGAAATAATTATTTTTAAAAAAATACGCAAAGGGCCTTTGTGATTTATTATGGCATCGGCTTTCGGGAAGCACGGCCATGGGTGATAAACTGTAATAAATCTGTTACGGTCAAGCGATAAACAAATTATATTGCGTTCTAATAAACCTGTCTTATTTCCGGACGGGCTGGTTTCCCAAGCCTGCTGCGATCTCAGCCTTTTCCACCTGCAAAAATAACACCCCCCCCTTTTAACTAATTCAAACAATGAGTTCATCAATGGCCGGGAGATCAGGTGTTTCCTTGGTGGGTCGGGGGTCCTTCCTTACCCACCGGCCACCTGGGACGGTGTGGGGAGAGAGAGAGAGACAGACAGAGTGTGTGTGGGGGAGCCATCTGTCAGTGGGAAACAGGAAGGAACAGCAGCCGCCGCCCCCCCCCAAAAAACCCCATGGAGTCTCCGGCTCACAGCCATCAATTCTTCTTGCAGTCAACGCAAGTCAAGGGGGAGGAAAGGAGAGAGAAAATCTCGCCCAGACGTCTAGCAGGCGGCCCGATCAAACGGCTTGGTGGTTGTGGAGGTCGTAGCAATCCACCAGATGTTCAGGGAGAGTTGTAAACTCGCAAGGAGAGTGTAGATTCCCCAAGAGCATCCGGCCCGAATTTTGCAAAAGGACCACAGGTTCCAAAACAAGACAACTTGCATCGCCCCTGCTAATTGCATTATTATTAGGCTAACCTGCAAAGCTGTCAACTTTTCTTGCGAGGAATCCTATTCGGAATAAGGGAAAGGGTGGGTGGGAAATCCCATCAATAAAAGAATGGCAAATTCAACTTTGTGAATATATAAATTTGGCAAGATTTGCAGCATTCTTAAGGGGACAATCGGACCAAAAATTAGCAAAAGAATGGGGCTGTGTCAGCAAACTTTTTCAGCAGGGGACCGGTCCACTGTCCCTCAGAGTTTGCGGGGGTTGGACTATTTTTTTTTGGGGGGGGGGAATGAACGAATTCCTATGCCCCACAAATAACCCAGAGATGCATTTTAAATAAAAGGACACATTCTACTCGTGTAAAAACACGCTGATTCCCGGACCGTCCGCAGGCTGGACTGAGAAGGCGATTGGGCCGGATCCAGCCCTGGGGCCTTAGTTTGCCTACCCATGTCCTAGAGTAAGTATATCAGTATGTAATGAATGAAAGCTTTGTAGGGTTAAAGAAATGGAAAAAACGGTGGAAAAGGTATAAGGATAGAGGTAATTTACATTAGATGCAACAATTCAGAAAGATTAAAAACTTAGAGGTCTCAAAACAGAGGAAGGAAGTCAATGTGTACGTGTATTTGTACGTAAAGTTTGTTAAGACAATATGGTTTTCTTTGTAGGTTTGTTTTTTTGTCCTTTTTGTTTCATCCCCCCCTCCCCTTTTTTGGGGATTTTATGTTTGTAATTTTTGTTGTAATTTCGCTTTGAAAATAATAATAAAAAAATAAAAAAGGAGGGGAGAGTTGATCCTGTGTTCGAATCCTGCTTGTAGGTTTTCCACAGGCATTTGGTTGGCTGCTGTGAGAAAGAGATGCTGGACTGGATGGGCCCCCTCTGGCCTGATCCAGCAGGGCTTTCCTTATGGAATCAAATAAGCAAGGAGAGTTGAGAGCCCACCAACTGCTTTATAGATCTCTGTGCAATTCCTGCCAGAGGGGCGTGTATATTAAGGGTGCAGTTTTATGTACCAGAGACTGGGAGCATCTATTTCCCCCCCCCTTCTGGTGCTGCTAGGCTCCCTCCTCCTTTGCTCATCCCCTGTGGTCAGCATGACCAATGGTTAGAGCTGATGGCGGGAGCCTGGAGTCTTTCAATATCTGGAGGTTCCCCCCCAAAAAACCAAGATATAACCCAAACTGGCAACTCCAGAGAAAACTCACAAAACAGGGTCTCCACAGACGTCCCCGTTTCCAAATCCCGCGAGGAAAGGGAAAGAACGCAAAGAAACGGTTCTTCAAGACACAAAGAGATTATACATATATTTCAAGCATCGACTTGGGACAGATAATTCTGGATACCAAATGTACAGGTCCTCAGCTCTGCCGGACAGGGCCTCCGGATTGGTGTTCCTACACAGTAGGATAAATTTATTGTCTCTGTTCTTCTCGTATATGAAGTTAAACAAGGAAATATACACATCTATGAATACCTATGTACAACGCTTTTTAAAAAGACCTTCCGAGAGCAGTGTGCCAAAAAACCCCAACCACCCTCCGTGCGTGCGTTCCCCCCCCTTCTTTTTGAAAAAAGATTTGGAACGGAGGTTTTCGACCTCGCCTGACACCCGCTCGGTTTGTATTCGTGGCAGGATCAACTGTCCTTTCCAAGGCCGCGGAAGCAGACGACGGCTGCTGAATCCCTTCCAAAGGACAGATTTCTCCCCTCTCTGCTTCTTGAATTGCTATCAAACCCACGAAGGATGCAGCCAACAGTTTTAGGGACTGATGTAAACATCTGCAGAGATTCAAACTGGGGTCTATATTTTTAAAAAGAGAACCCCCCTGCTTTTTTATATCGTATATATTTTTTAATATGGTTGCATCTAATCAATAAGGGAAATGGGGCTTTAGCCAGGCTATCCCTGATCGCCTCTGGCGAGTCAGAAATGTTTCCAGGTGACCAAGCTGAACTTTTGGAAACTGGGGAGCTAGCCTGTCCTTCCTGTGTTTTGCTTGCTAGTCACCAACCCATGCATGTTCTTATACGCGGGGCAAATTCCTCGGAAACGAGGCCGCCAGAGGTCTTGAGGACTAGCGACTTGTGCGAACTTGGTTTGCAAAACCGGCTTAATTCGGGGAGCTAAAAATGAAAGGAATACAAAAGGAGGGGTTGAGGGCCAAGGGAATCAATGGACGATCTTAACTCCGGTTGGGAAGGTGGCAGTGAAAAGTCGGTGAAGGAAATATACAAGGTTTAAGGGGATCTCAAATGCTACATTCTGCTCTCCAGAAGGAGGTGGGATCCAGAATATTCTTGCCGAAGAAGTAACTCGGGAACAACTGTTCAAGAGTGAGCCACAAACTTGTCCCTGTTCCGGCTCCACCTTCATTCCAAAAGCCAAGCCCAATAACTTGGAATAGTTCTGGAAACTATTTCTCCAGGGAGACTGTCCCCACCTTTCAGAGTCCGCGACTTCACATTCCCAGGATGGCCGCACCAAAGAAATAAAATAAACGGACACCACGTTCTGATCTCGAAGAAACAAAAGTGCTACAATTTTGGTTTGGGGGACAAGGTCTTCCCTCAATGGGGGGCACACAACATGCTACATTCTAGACCCAAGGAAGGGTGCCGATAGAATGGCTCCAAACGCAGATTTTGTGCTGGAGGCGGCCGTGGCCACATCAGAGTCTCATTTCCAAAAGCAATCCTCCTGTGTGTGTATAGGGTACCCAGCCCCAAAGCTAGCAAGGCCTGGGCCATTGTGGCTTTGCAGCCTGCTCTGAGAATATGGTGAACCTCAAAGGAAGATCGGAAGCCAATTCAAGGTGGAAATAGCCTAAATTGGCCAAAGTTGTGAGCCTACCGTGTTTTTTGCCCAGAGGCTGCAGAAACCCAACATTCTAGAAAGCTCAAGAGTTTGCGTTCTGCTTTAGCAAGCTTCTAGCCCTCAAGTCCTCAAACGGGGGCGATCGGGACACAGAAGTCGCCCGGACTTCTCCTACAACAACCAATTGCTACTTTCCTTCTCCCTTTGTGAATCCCCATCTTGGCCATCTACTTCCTGCCCCCCAAACCAGCCTGCCTGAATTTTCGGAAGCAGAATTGCACGAAGGCGAGGCGAAAAGAGCTGCGGTAGCCCCTATTGGTGCATCAATTGCGGGTGCCCGGGATTCAGGAACGGCCTTTGCCCCTCAAAGCCACCTGTCTAAATGCCTTCGAAGACAGGAAAAAGGAGCGGAATCTGCTTATTTTGGCAACTTGGCTCAGTGGTCACGGGGAGGACCAGATAGGTCAAAAGAACTGCCCGCAGCAGGAGGCAGCCAATGGGGAGAGAGGAAAACCCAGCGCTTCCCCTCCCACCATTTCCCATATGCAAACGCCCTGCCCCCCGGCGAACCGCTGCAAGGCACGCTGGGAGTTGTAGTCCAGTTGTAGGCAGGTTGGCAGAAGCGGGTCCCTCTGCTTGCCTTCCATCTTGAACGGCTACGGCGGCGGGGGACCCCAATTTAGGCCTCGTTCGCCCCCCGGCACAGCTCCGGGCGTCCGAAAAACAAACCCTGGAGGCTCAGTAACTGAATTGCCTGGAGGATTGGGCTGGGGGCGAGGACGGCATGAAAAGCCCCTGGGCGCCCCCTCCTGGCTTGACCAGGGAGACCGAGCGCTTGATGCCCCCGTGGCCGGCCAGCGGGACCTGGTCGCCGTAGCTGTGCTGCCGGGAGAGGAAGATGGCAGGATGGGCTCCCTCGTGGGGCACCGAGGTCCCCGTGGAGTGCATGCGAGTCAGGAGAGACGAGGGCGGCCGGCCCGCCTGGCCCAGGCTGTGGTGGCGCGACAGCACGCCCCCGCCAACGTTCACCAGCTTGGGGGCGGCCGCAGAGCGAGTGTCTGTGCAGCCGGGCGCCCGCTTTCTCGCCGGCCGCGGGCGGGTCCGGCGGCACGTCCAGCCTCCGCGGCAGGCTGTCCCTGGGCAGCGTGGAGGAGCTGTAGTACGGGGCGCTCTCCACGTCCGGGATCTGGGGCTGCACCCGGTTGGCGAAGGAAACGGCCGCGGGGGCGAAGCGGGGGCCGGCCAGGCCCTTGGCCGAGGAGCCCTCGGCTTCGTGGAGGTGTTTGAGAAGTTCCTCTAGGGCGGCCACCTCCACCCCTTTGGGCAAGTAGCACTGGGAGTGCCGCACCAGGACCCGTTCTGGGTTCGGGATCTTCTTCTCGTCCAGGTAGCCCGCCAGGGGGGCCTCGTAGCCGCGCAGGTGCCCGGGCCCTGCCACGGCGCTGGCGAACGGAAAAGGGTGGGCGTTGGAGACGGGGGTGTGGAACAAGGGCACCTTCCCCTGCGACTCCTTGGCGTTGTTGAAATTCTGGTTCTTCTCCCACTGGTTGCGAATGGCTTTCATGTTCTTGACGGGGAGCTCCGGGGTGGATTCCGGGGTGGGCAAACCGGACAGCTCCGGGTGGTGGTCCTTGACGCCCGCCTTGGCTGTGACGGAGGTGGCCGGCGGTTCCTTCTCGCTGGGGAGCAAGGTGGTGTACAGCTTGGTGGGGGCGCCTTCGGCCAAGGCATCTTTGGCCTGCGCCTCCAGCAACCCGTTCATCTTGGCCAGGCTCCGCAGCGACAGCGGGCGCTGGAGGCCGCCCTCTGAGTCCTTCCCTGCCCTCTTGGCCTTCTGGAAGCTGTGGTTGCAGTAGCAGGAGACCAGCAGCCCTGAGAGGAAAGCCCCCAAGACGAAGGCCACGAAGATGCATCCGATCAGGAAGGTGAAGTGGACCGTCGGGGCGTCCTCGCGACCGCCCGACTCCTGACGCACGCCTGGAGCCAGAGAAACAGAGAGTTAGGGGGCTGGGCGCCAACATGGCCGCCTCACTTTACCTGGCAGGTGTGAGGGCGTCTCCGGCCCTCCAGGTTGGGACAGCCACCTGACCTGCCAGTGATTATCGAGATGTGATCTCTGCGGGTTGGGCTAGATGACCCTCGGAACCCTTTCCAGCTGCCCAATTTTATGATTCGATGTGGCCCAACTACAACTCCCAATCAGCCCCTGCATGCATAAGGATGATGGGAGTTGTAGTTCAACAACATCTGGTGAGGGCGGGGAGCAAATTTGCCTCATTCGTATTATACTGGGTTGTGGCCAACGCAAATCTTACTCAGAGGAGACCCACTGGAATGACTAAGACTAGAAGTAGAATTGTAGAGCTGAAAGGGTCGATGGTCAATGCAGGAAATGTTTGTCCAACAAGGGACTTGAACCCACAGCCCTGAGATTAAGACTATCCCATGTTCATTAACTTTTATGGGTCTACGCTGAGTAGGGCTTGCGTTGCGTACAGCCCACCGCTTAGGTCCTTCCGAATATTAGGGAAGACTGGGAAGAATTTCAAGGAAGGGGTAGAAATTGTGGACTTATTCCAAAGTCTTTCCTACTTTCCAGCAGTTGCAGCCAATTTTTTAAAAATAGAGTTACTACCGAAATTTCACCTCAAGCAGACTTGAAAAAAAGAACAGAAGAAACAAACCCTCAACGTGGAAGAATCTCATATGAGAAATTTGGAGATCAGCCCAAATGAGAAGAAGGTTTTGCTGTAAAGATTAGCAGAACATCACAGCTAGAAAAAGAGCCGTGGGCGTGTGACTAGCCAAATATCTCAATCTGTCTTGGATTTTTTTCTGTCTATGCATCAAAACAAAACCCACAGGTCACATCCACACCATACATTGAAGGCACATGACCTCCACCAAAGAATTCTGGGAACTGTAGTTTACCCCCGGCAGTGATACAATTCCCGGCACCCTGAACAAACTATGTTTCCCAGGATAATTTGGGAGACGCCAGGTGTGTTAAATGCACTTCAAATGCGCGGTGTGGGTGCGCCTGCTATTTCTCCTCCGTGGAAAGACAGAAGGGCGATGAGGTGGGATGAGCAAGGTTGAGATGGCTGATGGAAAATGGAAATGGCGTCTGGTGGTTCAGCCGGGTGGATTTTGCAGGTGTGGGGAGACGGTGCCCCTCTTTACCCAGCCATCACAAAGCTTCAAGGCTTCTCCTCCTCCTCTCTGTGTGTCCATGAAAAGAGCCGCTACGATTCACAATGCGGCCCTCTACAGGTCTACTGATGGTGACAGCAGCAACGAAATTAAAAGACGCCTGCTTCTTGGGAGAAAAGCAATGACAAACCTAGACAGCATCTTAAAAAGCAGAGACATCACTTTGCCAACAAAGGTCCGTATATTAAAAGCTATGGTTTTCCCAGTCGTGATGTATGGAAGTGAGAGCTGGACCATAAAGAAGGCTGATCGCTGAAGAATGGATGCTTTTGAATTCTGGTGCTGGAGGAGACTCTTGAGAGTCCCATGGACTGCAAGAAGATCCAACCTCTCCATTCTGAAGGAAATCAGCCCTGAGTGCTCACTGGAAGGACAGATCCTGAAGCTGAGGCTCCAAGACTTTGGCCACCTCATGAGAAGAGAAGACTCCCTGGAAAAGACCCTGATGTTGGGAAAGATGGAGGGCACAAGGAGAAGGGGACGACAGAGGACGAGATGGTGGGACAGTGTTCTCGAAGCGACCAGCAAGAGTTTGACCAAACTGTGGGAGGCAGTGGAAGACAGGAGTGCCTGGCGTGCTCTGGTCCAGGGGGTCACGAAGAGGCGGACACGACTAAACGACTAAACAACACCAACAGGTCTACTCGGAAGTCAGTCCTGCAGAGCTCCATGCGGCTGACCCCTAGGAAGTGGGGGCGTTGGATCAGGTTGGAGGGATTTCAGTCTATTTCTGGTTTGTGCCAATGTTGCATTGCCCACCCACCCGCAATCTGTGGCCTGATTCGCCCCAGCAACCAGCCTAATCAATAGCTAGAGAAGTTGGGAGTTATAGTTTGGCAGCGCTTGGAGGGCGCAAGGCTCCCAATGGCTGTGTTAATCGAGATCGCCTTCCTTTCCTGCAGAAGGTCTTGGGTTCAGGTCCTGAAATCTCCCGGTGGGTCCGGGGACAGACCGTCTGCTTGAAACGCTGGACAGCTGCTGCCGGTCTGTGCAGACAATATTAGGCGGACCAGCAGCTCTAACTCAGGGCTTCCAGGCTTTTCGTATGCTCAAAGGTTCACAGAGGCCTTGGCCCTGGAAGCACAGCAGCAAAACCTTAACGCAGATTCAAAATGCCTTATGCCTTTTTAAACATTCTTATTTTAAGATACCCTTTAACGAGCCCTTTTAATGAGCTCAAACGGTACAATTAAAAGAAAATGGATCATTTAATATGGCTTTAAAAGGCGCTAATGTGAAATTTCCATTTATACCGCACTTTTAATGGACCAGAATAATATATATATATTGCTATTTAATAATAATACTAATAATAATAATCTTTATGCTATGGAAGATTGTGTCTCACTTACCCAGCGCACGGGAAAAGCCTAGAGTTTTAAAATACAATATTAATCTCAATTATTTTTAATCTTGCTGCTGCTTTCTTTTTTTTACAGAAAAAGATCTTTAGTGTTGTGTCTCTACTGCAATTTTGCCAGGGCGGAAAAGGCAGAACATTATATGCATTTTAGTAATGAAGTTCATTTATTTTACTGGATTCCTGTTCCCTTCCCCTCCCCTCGTGCGCTCGGTTAATTATCTTTGATGCTTTCACTTTGGGCTTTTAGAAGTCTGAACGCCCTGATTTAATTAATTTCAGTATTCGAACCCGATTCTGCCTTCCCCTGTGTAAATAACGATCATTGAGGGAAAAGACTTTCGAAAGGCAGAAAATATGCTCTCATTTAATATGGGAGGAGGGGACCCTCAGGGCATTGCTCATAAGCGGCCCTCCACACCTCTCTTCTCTGGTCCTCAGAACTCTTCCATCCTCCTTGAGTGCTTTCGCCTGCCTAGAAGGAGACCTTGAAATACAATCACCTCTTTCTCTATCTGCAAATATCGTGACTTTTTTGTGGGCGGAGCCTACTATGCAACAGGGGAGTGGCCTCTTTGGCCACGCCCACTTTGGCCCTTGACCCCGCCCACCAGATTCGGAGAGTGTGTGTGATGGAGAAAAGAGCACAAAAGCTCAGGAGAGCGAGAGATGGGCATTCTGCACATGCTCAGAGGCTTTTCATGATTCGGCCTTCTATTTTCCTAGAATTCCCTTTTAACTGTTCTGCTACTTTAATGGGTTGCGTTGCGCTTTTTTAAATAGCAGGCGCTTATTTCCATGTTTCAATGCAATGGTTTGATTGTGTGTTTTAAATGCGTGGCTTATATTTTTGGGGGCAGGTGATTTTCCGCTTGCAAACGACTTGGGAGTCACCTTGACAATTAAACGGTAATATAATATATGATTATTAATGATGGTGATGATAATACTACTACTAATTACATTTATGTACTGTTCAATTATTAGGGTGACTTCCAAGCAAATAATAATAATAATAATAATAATAATAATAATAATATTTAGATTGATATCTGGCACTGTCAGAAAGTTCAGAAACAACGGTTTGTCTCCAACTGAGTTTTACTCAGAGTAGAACCTATTGGAACCAATGCACGAAAGGGAGCAATGTCAATTCACGTCAAGGGCTCTACTCTTAAGTAGGACTAGCAATGGATCTAACACTCTGGTCCAGTGGGAGCCTAGAACATTAATGGAGTGTTAGGAGAAAATTGTGTTTTTTTTTAATGTTCTTTTTTTTGAGCGGGATAAGTTAGGGGTGTGTGTGTGTAAAGAGTCCACATGCTTTAAATTAATTCAGAACCAGAGGCAAAGACTCAGCCAAATGACTCTGGGATGAGTTTGCTCCTCACAGACCTGGATGATCAGGAAAAGCCATCAAGGAGCTGACCGTTTCGTTGTTAAAAATGTGGAAAAAGAATAAGACTGGGGTTTTTTTGCGGGGCGGGGGGAGAAGGCGAATAGGGGGGAAAGGAATAAAAGAAAAAACAGATGGCAGGAGGGGGGGAAGGGACAAAGGAAGGCCTAAAAAGCAAAAATCCGTATTTTTTAAAAAGGAAAATACTGGGGGAAGATGAGAAGGGAAATGATGGCTGCTGTGTTTTCTCCCTGAGAGGGTTAGTTCCACCCCAAATTGCGCCCGACAGTTTCTCTCCTTCCCCCTTTTGGAAGAGAGGAGAAACGGGCGCCTTCAAACTGGCTCTAACTCTGCAAAACTGTGCAAGCACCCAGGTTTCACAGAGTTCTGCGTCTCATGCGACGAAGAGCTCTGTGTTACCCAGAAGACTGCATTCAGCGACAGAGGTCCGCATGGTTTTGACCTCACCGCTTTTAAGAGGGGTGGGATCCAGCTGCCTGAGGGGTTGCTGCTTCTGACAAGCCACATGCGCAAGCCTCGGCTGTGACCTTCGCCGACAAGGTGGACCTCAACCGAACGCACATTTCTTCCCTGTTTAGCCTCCCTGCCCCTTCTCCTCCCCTCTCCTCTCTAACATCTCGCGTGTGGGTCAATTTCGCCTCTGCAGGCCTGGCCACGACCTGCCGAAATTGGGGGTCCCGTTTCGGAATGGAGGCTCCTAGGGGCCAGAGACCTACCTGCCTTGACAAACAACCTTCCTTTAACTACGGATATTTATGCTGTTAAAGGGGACGGATCTTCGAAGAGGGAAGGTATTCGGGACACACAGCAAGGAGGAGGAGAAACCACGAAGCTTCGGGGCCCAATAATAGTCAAAAGTGATCAGCTTAGGGGGTGGGATTGGGCCCCCCTCTTCTTCCCTCCCCTCCCAATCCTGTGCTCCTTTTTCAGAAGTCTTGATGGTGGCCAGGAAGACACACACAAAAAGAATTAAGCCCGCTATTCACT